TGCTGTGTGTGCTGTGTGTGGGCTGTGTGGTGTGTGGGGTGTGTGGGGTGTGGGGTGTGTGGTGTGTGGTGTGCGGTGTGCCGTGGGTGTCGCCTGGCGCCGTGCTCACCATTTCCTTGGCCCCTTAGGTGTGCCGTTGGTTGGCAATCTGCGGACGAGGCTGCTTGCCCTCCATGTCCTGGAGGCTGTGCTCCCTGCCTGTGAGTCGGGCGTTGAAGATGACCAAATGGCTCAGGTCATTATATTTTGTTATAAGCTTTTACACCTATGTCTTAAAAAAGTCCCGTTAAACTTTTAAATGTTTTGTAGGTTTGTTCAGAATCCAAATCGTGTAAGGCTCAGTGTAGATGTTTGTTCATCTAAGAACACCAAATATTTTGACATTTTATACCTACGAAGCAGAGTAAAAGGATATAGTGTTACTTGTTGTCCTCGTCTTGGAGTTAAAATAATCTGAATTATGCTCCAATGCACCAGGTTGTTGAACGACTGTTCTCACTTCTGTCTGACTGCATGTGGGAGACTCCAATAGCTCAGGCTAAACATGCGATTCAAATGAAGGAGAAAGAGCAAGAAATGAAGCTGCAGGTAATGATGCTTGTGCTTTGTGTCGTGACGGGGTGCCCCCGAGGTACAGTTACCGCAGCTGTTCTGTCCTGTTTCTGGTAGAAGCAAGGAGAGTCTGAAGATGAAGATGAGAATCTTCCCATACAGGAAGTGTCCTTTGATCCTGAAAAAGCTCAATGCTGCATAGTGGAGAATGGGCAGATTCTGACTCATGGAAGTGGAGGCAAAGGATATGGTTTAGCATCCACTGGAGTTACTTCTGGGTGTTACCAGTGGAAGGTAGGTTGCATGAACGTGTATTTGTTGGCTTCTCTCCCTCTGTTGTGTAAATATGCTGTCGTTTATTAACAGCAGCTGCCTATGGTTTTGCCCTTATGACACCAGCCTTGGGGCAGTGATAGTGCTCTGTTTGTGATTGGACTCAGGGATCTTAGGGATCCTTCCCCAACCTGAATTTTTCTGTGATTTTCAGCCCAAAGGCAAGAGTGTGTGGCTGGATTTGAGCACTGCCAGGCTGAAGACTGTGACTGTGTGTTGTGTATTTGTAGAGGTGCCAGTACTCGCCCAAGATCGGTAGTCAGCATAAATCTGCATAGTTTTGCAAGAGTTACCTACTGAAATAGTAGATTTTGAGTGGTTTTCTGTAGACAAACACCCCACAGAACAAGACACGTGCACCTGAGTGGCAAGTTCAGCATTCAGTACATCATCTGGAGCGATGTCGCCTCCTGAGGGACGCAGACACATACACCCTTGTTGTCCTTGCTTTGTGCCACCTTTGAACACGACACCTTCACTTCGTTTTTAACCCGAGTCTCTGTAAATCACTCACTCTGAATGTGAGCTGAAAAGCTTATTTCTTTCTGTAATACTGTTTTTACCACTTGTAGCCCAACTTCTGGGTGTGTATGTTTGGAGTCCAGAAAAAAAGACCCAACAACTTGTGTGTTTTCATTTATTTTTCTGAATTACTAGTAAATTAAACTTAAATGACTCGTTGGTGACTGACCTTATGCACTACGGTGTCACTTAGAGGCAGAGCATGATTTTAGCTTATTGACTTACTCTTTTTTTATTATCAAAAGCTTCTGAGAAAAATCAGTTAAAATATACATGTGTATGTGTAAGGAAAATTTTCATTGCTCTATTGTGTAGAAGTGTGTAGTCTTGATTTTTTTCCCTGTTGGTTTTGGTTTTGCTGCCAGTTCTACATTGTGAAGGAGAACCGAGGCAACGAAGGCACATGTGTGGGAGTCTCTCGCTGGCCAGTGCACGACTTTAACCATCGCACCACCTCGGATATGTGGCTGTACAGAGCCTACAGTGGCAACCTCTATCACAATGGGGAGCAAACTCTGACTCTGTCAAGCTTTACTCAAGGAGATTTCATCACATGTGTGTTAGATATGGAAGCGAGAACTATTTCCTTCGGTAAAAATGGAGAGGTATGTAACATCAGTTGGGTTTTGGTGGCTTTTTTCCAGCAGTAAATGTGGCATGGATAAGCATGACAGACATGTGACGGTTTCAGTACTTGAAAGGTTTATAATGCAGACATAACTTCTTCATGTTTCATATTTTTGCTTGCTAGGGTGTTGTGAGTTTGAGAAATTTTTGCTTTGTTTTTTCGCTAGGAGCCAAAATTAGCTTTTGAAGATGTGGATGCTGCTGAGTTATACCCGTGCGTTATGTTCTACAGCAGTAATCCAGGAGAGAAGGTAACTTCAGCGTTCATCTGTGTGGGTGGACTGGTTTTACTGGGATAAAGTCAGGATTCATCATAGCAGCCTGTTTGTTGCTGTGGTTTGGATTTCTGGCCAGAAGTCTGTTAACACACAGTGTGTTAACTATGGTCATCTGTTGTAAATTTTAAATGTATTTTGTTATCTAGAATTTATTTACAGACTTAATGTTCTAAACAAAAAATGCCATTCCCCAGAAACCAGGGAGAATGTAGTATTAGGATTTCTAGACAGTTTCACGTGAGAATCTGAGGACTGTTGTTACTTGAAGGGACAGAGGTTTTGCTCAGTGTTAAGGTAGATTTCCTAGGGATCCCAAGGAAAACAAGACTGCTAGTAATTAGTTCTGTGCAACAGGAGACTCCTCCATTTACAAAAAGAGCTTCAGGAACGTTGAGAGGATAACTTTAAACTGTTCTCTCACACTTAGGTGAAAATCTGTGATATGCAGATGCGTGGGACACCCAGAGATTTGCTACCTGGAGACCCAATCTGTTCTCCTGTTGCTGCAGTGCTGGCAGAAGCCACTATCCAACTCATTCGTATCCTTCATCGCACAGACCGTTGGACACATTGCATTAACAAAAAAATGATGGAAAGACTGAATAAAATCAAAACGTGTCTTAAAGAAGCAGGCCAGAAGCTGAAGAAAAGTCGCTCAGTTCAAAGCCGCGAAGAGAATGAGGTGAGGGAGGAGAAAGAAAATAAAGAGGAGGAGAAAAGCAAGCACAGTCGGCATGGTCTGGCTGATCTTTCAGAGCTGCAGCTGAAGATGCTTTGCACAGAAGTGTGGCCTGTTCTGGCAGTCATCGGTGGGGTGGATGCTGGTCTCAGAGTGGGAGGTCGGTGTGTCCACAAGCAAACTGGACGTCACGCCACCTTGCTTGGAGTAGTGAAGGAAGGCAGCACCTCTGCCAAGGTCCAGTGGGATGAAGCAGAGATTACCATCAGGTATGCTCATGTCCTGCCCTTGGCACAGTCTGGTGGCAGCATAACATCTTACACTGGATCGTGGTGTCAGTTGCTCTGAGTTTGGACTGCAGTGGTGTTGAGGCGAGCGCTGTCCCAGGGTGGTATCGGTCCATTCTCTGAGCTGCAGGAGTGGCCCTGCATTGCCTGGTAGCACGCTGCAGTTGTAGCTCTGCAGATGGTGGTGAGAACCAGGAGGAGGCTGTAGGGAGGTACTCTGTTTTCCAGCTGTCTTCCAGGCATGTCTTCACAGGGAAGGAAGTTTCCCTCACCTGGAAGGAAACTCTGAAGTGAAGCTAGTGGCTTCTCTGGGCTCGCTGGTGCTCTCACAGGAATTGCCTGTGGTTTTGTGTAGAAAAGATTTGATTCACTTAATTTCTTAAACTCCTTCTGCTCAACTGCACTTGAGTTAGTTCCAGATATAAATTCTTTCAAATACACCCATGTGACAGTATAACCTTAAAGTAAGAGTGCCCTTCAAATAGTCTGAAGCATTATTTGAGGGAAGTGGTGCAGCACTTGAACATAGACAAGGCTCTTGGTAGAGTCCTGAGTTAAGTTCAGAATGTACCTTCTTCATTTAAACCAGGCTAAAGCTTGGTTTCATTTTCAAATAGAAGGTTACATTGCAAGATGGGAAGACATTTCTGGATAATAAAAGGCAGATTTAAAAATATCTGCTAGATGCGTGGAAAATACAAGGTGTACCAAAATATGGGCTGGTGAATTTTGTCCAGCTTAGAGTGAAAATTAGTGAAGTGTAAGAGTCCTAAGTATTCCCAAAAATACAGCCGAGTATAGCTGGGCAGGTGGATGTGTGTGTCTGTTGGGTGTTGTGAGCTGTGCTTCCTGAGGTCACAGTCCTGGCCAGGCACTCCCCTGGCAGCCCAGTCAGGATGGCTGTCAGCTGTCAGCAGTGTGCTCCTGGTGGTGAAGAGCTCAGCAGGGGTGTGAGGCCCATCCAAGCTTTCCCTTGGTGTGACAAAAGTTCCTCAGCTTTTACACGTACTCCTGACTTCAGCTCCGGTGTGCTGGCAGAGTTTCTCCTAGTGGAAGGCTGTGAGGTGTTTCTGAGTAACAGAGCCGAACGTGTCGGCACAGAGCTGACACCTTCTGCAGTGCTGCTGGGGGTCAGTGCTTGGTGTTGAACCCTGTGCATGCTTTGTTGCCTTTACTCTGAAACCATATTTCCCTGTTTTCTGTTCATAACCTCATTTTCCCCTGTTTGCATTTAATTTTTAGAATTGCTTCGTTTATTTTATTAAATATGTTTTGCATCTTACTTTGCCTACATTATTTCCTGTACTTTCCTCCTGTCTCTCCCTCACTTGCTTTTTCCTGTGTCATTCTGATCTTTATTAAAGCTTCCCAACTTTTTGGTCGCCTAGTGATACTCCATTGTATAATCTGGAGCCCTGTGAACCACTGCCTTTTGATGTTGCAAGATTTCGTGGGCTGACAGCTGCTGTATTGCTGGACCTTACCTATCTGACTGGCATTCATGAAGACATGGGAAAGCAAAGCACCAAGAGACACGAGAAAAAACACAGACATGAATCTGAGGAGAAAGGGGAAACGGAGCAGAGAACGGAGGGTGACGTCGCATCGGACGCACGTGTAGGACAGAGCGCCGACGATAGCAAAGGACACGGCGCTACCGGCTCCAAGTCAGAAAATGAAATTGTTTCCTTTTCTTTAGAACCGTCAGCACTAGGTATGGAGTCCCAACACCAACCTGGTGAAGGAAGGAAAAAGAATCACGAACATACTCCAAGAAACCATGATATAGTGCAGTCAGAAATCAGAGCTGTACAGCTGTCTTACCTTTATCTTGGTGCTATGAAGTCACTGAGTGTTCTTCTCAGTTGTAGTAAATATGCTGAACTGCTGCTGATACCAAAGGTCCTGGCCGAGAATGGCCACAACTCTGACTGTGCTGGCTCCCCAGTGGTGGCTGAGGACGTGGAGCTGCGCGCGGCCCTGCAGTTCCTGATGCGGCACATGGTGAAGCGCGCGGTCATGCGCTCGCCCATCAAACGCGCGCTGGGGCTGGCGGACCTGGAGCGGGCGCAGGCCATGATCTACAAACTGGTGGTGCACGGGCTGCTGGAGGACCAGTTTGGGAGCAGGCTCAAACAAGGTGCGTTTTCAAAATTCCGAAAGCCTAGGGCTAAATGGATTTTGAATTTATATTACCATCAGTAGTAACAGTGATAACACAAATAAGAGTCTTGTGAGTCCGTGGGGATGATGCTTTGTGGGGAATCTTAGTCAGGCTGAGAGATTTTGCGAAGCTGTTTTGCTGTTTCAGAGGTAATGATACTGACTTTTTTGCCTTTTCTCTAATTCCTTATTTGAACAAAGCCTGAATGCATGTCAGTCAATCAGAAAGAAGTTCCTAATTTGTCTTAAGTACTTTTTACAAATGAGCAGTTCTGTATATAGTTGTCAGAAGGATTTGCACTTCTAAACCAGCCTAGAAACCCCTTCAAATGTTACTTACCCAACTGGGTTAAAGACAGCTTTGCAGTTAATCAGCTCAATTTCCATATCTAAGACCTCTTCCCCCGTTTTGAAAATGTAGATATCACAGCGTCTGGCCCAGGTTTGCTGGTTTGCTGTGTCCCTGGTAGCAGTGTGAGAGCAGCAGGAGCTCTCTGGCTGTTGCTGTGCGTGGGGCCGTGAGCTGCTGGCAGCGGTTTGTGCGTGGAGTGCATTTCTGCACACCTCTGTCTGTCTCTGCAGAGAATTTTGGACAACAGTAGTTGTTTTTGAGTGTTGAAAGTTTAGCCACAGCTACTGTTTTGCTCTACACAATTGCATGTTGCTGTAATGTCCTTTCTTCTCTCGCAGAAGTGGAACAACAAGTGGAAGAAGGTGATCAGACTCAGCAAGCCCAAACACCGGTTACGACCAGCCCCTCTGCATCTAGCACAACATCTTTCATGAGCAGCTCTCTGGAGGACACTACCACTGCTACTACTCCCGTGACTGACACGGAAACAGTTCCAGCATCAGAATCCCCTGGTGTTATGCCTCTCAGCCTTCTCAGGTAAAATATCAGCATGCTCCATTTTGTGGCTGTAGGGAACCAGTTGTGTGGTTTGTATACAATATATGTCCTTAGCTGCCTGAGCCTTTGAAAATGCTAATGTTTGTATTTACGGTCAAGAGCTGACTCTGCAGAGGGCACAGTTTTATTACTTACTTAGCCTTGCACATTTTGTGTTACTAGAAATAAAAAGCTATTAAGATTTTGCTATACATTGTATAGATATGTAATACCTGAATTCTTAAAGGAGAAAGGTTCATCAGTTCTCATGTTTATTTGGTATAGTTTAAATTGTAAATCTCTGAAATTCTGTATTTTTAAGGAATGTTTGTTGATTCTTAAACTAGAGTAGATCTTGATTGGTGAGTAACATCCTGTGAACTAAGACATCGTTGCATCTTACACTCCCGTAGTGACATGGAAGTAAGATAAACCTAGCTAGTCTGGTCAGGCTGTTTGTGGAAAGGAATCTGCTTTACAAGGCAGAGAGTCCTGTTCTAAGTTTAACTCTTAGAGGTTTTGCAGATATAATTTGATAAAAGCCAGAAACATATCCTCTTGCCAGGACAGGGAAAATAAAATACTCGCCCAATTAGTCAGCCTGAGTTCTGAACGAACTGGGGCAATGGGATAAGTGTTTACTTATCTTTTACCTCCTAGGACAGCTCTTGGTCCATGGGGTTTTTTGGGTGCATACTTAGACTTTAAGTCTGCAGGTAAAGTTGGCAGGAGTGAGCTGTTCTGGCGGGTGTGTGCTTGCTGCAGTGCTTGTTGTGCCTTACCCTTTCGATTGCTGTACGGTAGGATGTGCCCAGTGCACCCTAATCTAATGTATTTATTTTGTCAGACCTTTTTCAGCATAGCTCTTTCTCATATAAATGTATATTGTTCTTTTTTCAAGACAAATGTTCTCCAGTTATCCTACTACAACTGTGCTTCCAGCACGACGTGCTCAGACTCCTCCAATATCTTCTTTACCAACATCTCCTTCAGATGAAGTTGGTAGGAGACAAAGTTTGACTTCTCCTGATTCCCAGTCTGCCAGGCCTGCCAATCGGACAGGTAAACTTGTCAGGATAGACAGAAACATGGACAAGTTAGTGAATTCACTGGAGTTCAGTGCTGTGTTTTAAGAGATTGAAAACCAACAGAATTGCTTTTTAAGGCAACCTAACATGTGAAGCAATGTTGAAAACCTTTTAGTGACTATCTTAGGACAAAAAAATGTAGATTATTTAGCTGTAGACTTTATCAAGCAAGTGAGTTTTTGTGAGCTGTGGATTGGGCTACAAAGTGCATGTGTAAAGCAAGAAGGCAATGTAAGTGCTCATCAAATTGGGGCTAGTTTCCCTGGGTGTGTGCCCATGTTAAGCGCACTAATTTTCTAGCTTTTTGGGGGTTATATACCATGCAGAAAACAAGAGCATTCTGTGATACACACACCAGTGTAGCTCATTACAATTAACTGTGTTAAGTGAGACAGAATGTGCTGTCCAACCTTCCTGGGTTCTCATGCTGCTGTCTGAATTGTGTGAAGGTAACGGGAGGCTTCACAGCAGAGGCAGAATGGAATAGGTAGGAGGATGAGCAGATTACTGAGGATCTTGAGCTTCTAAAGAGCACAAATGAGTACTGTCATGCAAAAGAGATAACACTAAAAATAAGACACATATGTATGTGTTTTATATCAAATGAACAGAAGAGACTGAGCTAAAGTTTGTGCTCCAGATTGCATATTTCTGCTGAGAAACAAAGTCTGTGCTTTAAAATTTCTGAGCGATATAACTTTTTATTCTTGCTCTTCCATCCATGCTGTTAGTTGAGATTTTTGGCGGTTTCATTTCTTGCAGAGCAGCTGATCTGCACAGGTTCACACCTCCTTTTGTTGTGGACTGACTTCTTCTAGTCATGATATTGTCCTTACAGCAGTGTTTGTTCCTAGGTCACTGCTCACACCTCACTCCTCTGGGCAGCGATAAGGAAGCTGTGTGTTTAGGGCAGTAACTGTCTGACTCAGAGTCCCTTGAAAGACTCTGCACAGGAGGTTTTTCAGATACATTAGCAGCTTAGTTGGGGTCTCTTTCAGTACCTTAAGAGGAATGTGACCTCATAACATTTGGGAATCTTGATGGTTTGGACAAGGATAGCTTCATCGAGACTACCTAAATATAAATCAAATAGATAATTTGATCCAGTTTGAAATTAAAGTAACTGAAATGTCTTAAAAGAAATAGTTCCTTGGATGTCATCAGTATCCTGCTTGGTGAAACAGAGGCTGGTGCAATCTGTGCTGCCAGCAGCAGTGAGCACTGTCTGGTTGCACTGCAGAAAGTGTTCTGCTTTGTGGAAAGCAGTTGAGAGAAAAGCTGGGAGCAATTATTCCCTTATCTGAAGCTCATATATCAAAGTAAGGTCTAGTAAGGTAACACTGAAGAAATATTTCTGTGCTCTACATGTAACATATTCAAACAGAGGCTGGTGCAATCTGTGCTGCCAGCAGCAGTGAGCACTGTCTGGTTGCACTGCAGAAAGTGTTCTGCTTTGTGGAAAGCAGTTGAGAGAAAAGCTGGGAGCAATTATTCCCTTATCTGAAGCTCATATATCAAAGTAAGGTCTAGTAAGGTAACACTGAAGAAATATTTCTGTGCTCTACATGTAACATATTCTGTCTCTCAAGCTCTATCCGAGCAGAGCAGCATCCCCCCCCCCTCCTGCCATTGCCGTCCCGCTGCTGGAGATGGGCTTCTCCCTCAGGCAGATTGCAAAGGCCATGGAGGCTACAGGTAATCTACAGCTAGAATACAGTCTAAAGAGAAACACTAGGTACATATCAAATGCTCTTTTCCAATAGCATACTTAATTTTTAAGTTCTGTAACCATTTCTGGGGGAAAATTGATTTTTTTTTTCCCCCCTAACCGTCAGTGATAAAATACAGTCCTAAAGTGTGATTTTCCTGCTTTCAGGTGCCAGGGGAGAAGCAGATGCACAGAATATCACAGTCCTGGCCATGTGGATGATAGAGCACCCTGGAAATGAAGATGATGAAGAGCCCCAGTCCGAAGGGACTGCGGATTCACGGCATGGGACAATTGTCTCTGGAAGTGGTGGGAAATCTGGTGACCATTGTTACTTGCAGTCTCCAGGTGATATCCCTTCTGCTGATGCCACTGAAATGGAGGAAGGCTTTAGTGAAAGGTAAAGGGTCATTTTGCTGTAATTGCTTGTAACCTGTTGCTGAAACTGGAAATCTCACAAGTGCATTGTTGCTGACGGAGCGTTGCTTTGGGGTGCTGCTTTTGGACTTGGTTGTAGCATGAGTGGGAGCAGAGATGGCATCAGGTGAGGTGCTCATGGTGTGCCTGTTCTGCTGTGCTCTTTGTGTCGGAGCTGGGGAAGAGTGTGACTGAGCATGCTGCCTCCAAAAAACCCAGAGGCCTTATGGTTGCATTTTAACTGAAAGACCTCGTGGTAAGCAGAATCTCACTGGTGTACTTCTGTTCCTGCGGAGTATACATGAACTATTTTACTATGTTGTTCTGTTTTAATTAATTTTTGGTTTGTCCAGAGCAGATGAAACTGAGTTAAAGTTTGCTTTCTCAGTCACCTGCACAATTTTAGAGCTAAACTGTATCTTAAAAAGGAGGAAAGGTGGTTGTTTCTCTTTTGGGACTTTTTGGTGGGTTCTTTGTTGTTTTGGGTTTTTTTAGTCCTGGCAATAGCTGTTGTATTGTAAAGTGACACCTTTTAGGAATCATACCAGCTTTTTTTTTTAAAGATAAAGGGTGCCCATTGCAAGATGTGTTTTGATAACTCTTTTGTTCAGATTCCTTGATCCTACTGAGGTGTGTGTTCTTAAGTTTCCTCAGTTTCTTTGTCCCACGTCAATTGTCATTTCACGGAGAACAGATTTAAGTTGGGAGAGAAAAAAGCAACAAGTGCTACTAAGGAACATAAATTCATGTTTTGCAGAAGATTTGGGGCCAAGAGGGGATTGACTGAGCCAGCAGCAACAGAGATGTTAATTTTAATGTTTTTTAAAGGGGGAAAAAAGGTAGTTCAAGCTGTTGTTAGCGTAAAATGAGTGCCCTCCCAAAATTTCTGCAGGGCTTAGGCGCTATGGAGACATCAAATAGGTGTCGACATTGCTGCATCTGATTTGTTTGAGGTAAATCTCACAGTCAGAAGAACAGAAAATATGTCCTCAGTGGAAGTGAAAATTCTCAAATTCCAAATCACTTCCAGGAAACAAAGAGAAAAATGCTAATAATTATGACTTTAGTAATTTTCCTTGCTGTATGTGGTTGTTTAAAACCTGGTGTGATTTACCTGTGCATTGCAATTGTTGCAGCCCTGATAATATGGACCATGTGGATAATGCAGCTGCAGCCAGTGGTGCTCCCTCGCGGAGCCGCTCGGCCGTGGCCAGGAGACACAAGTTCGACCTGGCGGCCAGGACACTGCTGGCCCGAGCAGGTGAGTGTGTGTGGGACACTGCTGGCCCGAGCAGGTGAGTGTGTGTGGG